TGCCCTTCATGGGATGCGTTTTTGGACACCAAAATTTTAAGATGGACTGGAGTTACTCTATGTGAAATTGATAATGGCACAAGCAACAAAGTGATACTCATGTAATAAGTCATCATCAAATCTGGGCGGAGATCGTCATTACCATACTAGAGTTAGTGATCTTCTGAATGGCACTAGTTCCGGGTGGGATCAAGATAAGGTGCGGAATATGTTCCCTCCAGCGGAAGCTCGTGAGATAATGCAAATAACAGTGGGGGGTGATGGTGGGGGACTATCTCGCATGGAATCACACAAAGGATGGTGTTTTATAGTTAGATCAGCCTACCACCTTTGCATGGGTCTGAAACGGGCAAAAAACAGGTAGCCCGGGGTCTTCATCATCGGTCACGAATCATAGAGCTTGGATGAACCTGTGGGATACGGTGGCGCCGCGCAGAGTAAAAATCCACACTTGGCGTCTTATTCGTAATGGGCTGGCGGTGGGCTCGGAGCTACATAGGCGCAAGATCAAACCCGGGGTGTTTTGTTTTGTGTGTGGAAGAGAGGAGACGAATTTACACAGGTTTTGGAGCTGTCCCCACTCTCCAAAATTTTGGAAAGTGTTGTACTCGGAACTGGGAGCACCGGCGGCGATCCCGCCGGATTCAGTATGCTCCCAGAGTGCGCTATCTTTGTGGCTCATGACATGGTTTGCTGATGCTCGAGCTATAATGGTGCAGGGACTTTATGCTTTGTGGATGGCACGGAATAACGTGCGAGAAGGGAAGAGGATTGAGGAGGCGGGGGACACGGCTGCGACGGTTAGGAGGCTCATGGAGGAGTGGCAGCAGGTTAAAGGCAGAGAGAGCAAAACCCCTCGAGTGACCCTGGCCCAGAAGTGGAGAGCGCCAGAGGATGGTTGAACCAAGGCGAACGTCGATGGTGCAACTACTAAGGGAGGAGAAATGGGGGGCGGGGGCGTGGTCTTCAGGAACGCACACGGAGCTTTCCTTGGGGGAGCGTGCCACTACTATCCTATGGGTGGAGACCCAACATTGTTGGAGCTCCAGGCCTGCAAAATGGCAGTGCAACTTGCGGGGGATTTAAACTTCGCTAAGCTGCACATTGAGATGGACTGCCAAGAGGTGGTACGCAAACTGCAGAGTGAGGAAAACGACTTCTTCGCGCTGGGACCATTGATCAAGGAAGGGAAAACCATGTTGGCGACAAGGGAATGGAAGGTGTCCTGGGTCCGGAGGACGGCGAACGGCGCCGCGCATGGGCTAGCTAAAGAGGGAGTAGCAAATAATTTTAGTAAGGTGTGGGTGAATGAACCCCCAGATTGTATTTTGCACATTCTTTCGGCAGAAATCCTGCCTTCTATGAATAAATAGAGACGTGGTTGATTTCAAAAAAAATGCATTGACGATTTCTTCTTTCTTTCTTTTTATTATGGTTTCAGAAAACAATTTGAAAAGGGAAATGAGAGATACGGTACTTGTAACAACGATTGGATTAGCAAAGACACTTTCCATGTTCTAGTTGTTCTTAAGTTATCTTATTTGATTTGATAGTGCGTTAAACTAATGACGGCTGCTAAACCCTTGGTCATCGGTACAACCACCCGATGTCGTTACTATATGTGATGTGATGTATACCGCCAGTCAATCTCCAATCAGAAGGGAAACTTAGTGTGTGTTACCTTTTTCTTTCTTCGTCGCGAAGAGAGAAAAGCCCCAGCCGTAAGAAGAGTTTCTTTCGCTGCTGTATTCCAACGGCTCTCCTCCGTTGAGGAGGGGGCTCGCCGGATTCACGCGTATAATTTTCGTTCTTGATTGGTGTTTCTTTGCATAAGTACTAGCGTTTTGTTTTTTTTCGATTTTATCTGGTCGGTGTCCCGGATATTTTTATTATGGTCTTTATAATATATAAAATGTGACTTGTATTACCATGAAAAAGAATAACGATCGGATCATGAATTGACGGCCAGATTAAGCAAAACAAGTGGCCTAAGAGCAACTTCAATGGAGTGACTCATTTCGTCCGCCCCCGTCCGTTTGGGTCGGCGCGGACAGAAAAGACGGCCCAACGCGCCGACCCAAACGGACGGGCGTCCACTTTTCGTCCGCGGGCGACCCATTTCCGACCCATTTTTGAGCCAGATTTGTATCGGCGCGGACACGCGACGAACGTGCGCACGCTCTCCCTCTCCTCCTCCGGGCCCGCTGGTCTGTATCACATTGCCCATACAACAGCAACCCTCGCCCTCCTCCTCCGTCGTCGCCGCCGCTGCCCCAATTTTGCCGGCGACTCTGCCAGCTGCCGGGGCATCCGCGTCCGCCCAGCTACGCCGCCCACTCACACCTCGTCCACCACCGCCGCCTTGCCGCCGGGAGCCGACTGCTTCCCACCCCCGCGCCCCCCACCGCACAGCCGCTCCCGACAAAGAAGCCGCCTTGCCACCCGGCCAGATCCTCACCGGCACGCTCGTCGGACGCCGGCAGGACAGCTAGCTGGTCCGTGTGCGCCGCGAATCCCTTCGTCGGTCGTCTCCTTCGCCGACGCTCGCAAGCTGTTCGACAGTTTGTCAAGGTACAAAATGGACTCCGCCGATGAGTTTTTTTTCACAATTTTCTTTGCGATTCCGACGATTCGTCCTCCGATGACGAGGAGGAGATATTGGCTGCCGTGTTAGTCCATCACCACCTCAACAGCCAGCGGCCATTGTTCCGTGACTCCATTCCGGGCCACCTTCCGGCGTTGAATCGCAACCGAGAGAGCGGGCATTTCCTTCTTTGGAATGACTACTTTGATACAACAAACCCGTTGTTCCAACATCAGAAATTGCGCCACCGTTTTCATATAAGTAGGCATGTTTTCAACCGTATTAGAGAGGGGGTGGTCGGCTATGATGACTATTTCGAGTGCAAAGAGGATGCCGTTGGCAAGATTGGTTTTTCTCTTATCAGAAATGCACTGCCGCCATCCGAATGCTTGCATAGGGAGTGCCCGGTCATCTCATTGACGAGTACGTCCGTATAAGCGAGTCTACTTGCCTAGAGTCATGTATAAGTTCTGCAAGGCTGTTATTGCTGTGTTCGGCCCTGAGTACTTGAGAGAGCCGACTGCTGAAGATACAGCCCGTTTGTTGGCGATGAATGAGGCAGGGGCTTCCCAGGGATTCTTGGTAGTATAGACTGCATGCATTGGGAGTGGAAGAACTCCCTTCTGCTTGGCAAGGGCAGTATAAGGGCCATGGTAGGGCTTGCACTGTCATACTTGAGGCCGTGGCGTCTCAAGATCTCTGGATCTGGCACTCTTTCTTTGGCATCGCCGGATCACACAATGATATCAACATGCTTCAGCGCTCGTCGGTGTTTGCTAGGCTTGCCGAAGGCAACAGCCCACCGATGAACTATACTGTCAACGACCACACCTACGACAAATGATACTATCTGGGTGACGGTATCTATCCTCAGTGGGCCACTATTGTCAAGACAATACCCAACCGTGTCGGAGAGAAGAGGAAAAGATTTGCCCAAGAGCAAGAGAGTGCTAGGAAGGATGTCGAGCGTGACTTTGGTGTTTTGCACTCTCGATGGGGCATCGTTCAGTATCCTGCTAATACCTAGAGCACGCACAAACTGTGGGAGATGATGACTGCTTGTGTGATCATGCATAATATGATCGTAGAAGACGAGCGTCCGGAACGTCTGTATAATCAAGGGTTTCAATTTCAGGGTGAGAATGTTGTGCCTGAGCATGGAGTAGCGGCAATGTTTGAACAGTTCACCCAATTTCATAAGACATGCGTGATTGAAAAACTCACGTGCAACTGCAAAATGATTTGGTTGAGCACATGTGGGCTCATGTTGGCAACCAATAGATGTATCTTCTTTTATTTGTTTGCAAAACTATGTGAGAACTATGTGATAGCTATGCTATTTTGAACCATGCAATCATGCAAAAAAAATAAGGGGGCCAGGCAGCCGCTCCGGCACATATAAGTCGATGCGTTGGACGCTCTGCCGACGCATATCTAAAACAGAGCGGACGTCGGGTGGGAGTCCGATCCAAACGGACAAAAAACAGATGAAATCGTCATCCGTTTGGGTCGCCCATTGAAGTTGCTCTAATAAACGGCTAAAACCCGCCCGTTCGGAGGCACGGTCGACGCCCATCGTTATAGCAGCCGCAGATCCGCGTCCTCCGGGCCTGGGTGCTGCCGCCCCGCCCCGCTCCCGGAAGTCATCCCCGGACGCAGACGCACACCTCCCAACACGTCCAGTCCACCCCGACCCGATCCTCCGCGCACGCCAGACAGAGGTGGGCGAGCACTACTACACAGTACACACACACATCCACGCTCACTACAAGAGCCAGCCACGCACGCGACCGCGCCCAAGACACGACGACCAACCAAGGGAGAGGGCGGCGACGAGGGCGCACGACGGCACGCCGAACGCTCTCGCAATGCATCACGCCAAGACCGACTCGGAGGTGACGTCGAGCATGGCGCCGTCGTCGCCGCCGCGGGCGCCCTACTACGTGCAGTCGCCCAGCCACGACGACGGCGAGAACCACTCCAAGACGGCCGCCTCCTCCTTCCACTCTTCCCCGGCCGCGTCCCCGCCGCGCTCGCTCGGGAACCACTCCAGGGAGTCCTCCTCCTCCCGCTTCTCCGGCAAGGTCCCCTCCGCAGGCTCCTCCCGCCGCGGCGTCGTCGGCGGAGGCGGGAAGCGCGGCGGGGGTGGCGGCGGCGGCGAGGCGGCGCGCCGCAGCCCCTGGATGAAGGAGGCGGCCATCGAGGAGGAGGGGCTCCTCATGGAGGACGACGACGACGCCGACGGCCGCGCCGGCGGCTTCTCCGCGCTCCCCAAGAAGGTGCGCTACGGGCTCGGCTTCGTCGGCGCCTTCCTCGTGCTCTTCACCTTCTTCGCCCTCATCCTCTGGGGCGCCAGCCGCAACCAGAAGCCCGTCGTCTCCGTCAACGTACGCACTCCTCTTTCCTTTCCCTCTGGGCCGGATTCGTGATTCGTCTTCTCTTATGCGAGCAAGAACTGATGATTCCTCTCCGTTGATTGCGCAGAGCGTCACGTTCCACAACTTCGTGATCCAGGCGGGGACGGACGCGTCGCTGGTGCCCACGGAGATGTCCACGATCAACGCCACGGTGAGGCTCACGTTCCGCAACACGGGGAGTTTCTTCGGCGTGCACGTCACGGCGCAGCCCGTCACGCTCTACTACTCCCAGCTCCTCATGGCCTCCGGCGATGTAAGCATTCATTCATTCCCGCACGCGCATCCTTAATTCCTCATACAGATTTCTTTGAACGGTTTCATCTGATTGATCGATCGAATGGTAAGCCTCAAGTTGGAGAACAACCGAGTCAAATCTGGTAAATGGCTGTGAATTAATCACAATACGTACTGCATTCAGGTCATGCCTGAACGATTGATTTCTTGTTGATAGATACGTAAAATTTTGTGCGGTGCATTTACGTCAACAAGTAGTCTTATGAACACACATTTGCATATTGTAAGCCCAAAGAGAAAGTCAGTCTTGCTCTGTGGTTTCTAGATGTGAACTTTGGACTACAGCTGCACTGCACATGTCTTGACCAAAACAAAGGGTGTTAATTTAGCCATGGCAACGTCTGCTGATAGCTACAAAAGCAGAGGCCACTGAACACTGCTGAAAAACTCGAACAGGACATCGTCATCCCGAGTTGCTGTCATCCAGTTCATATCCTTTATTTCTTTCTTTTTCCGCGGGAAATCCAGTTCATATTCTTTGTTTCTTTCTCTCTCTTTTCTCTGCGTGGAAATCTCATTCATATTCAACTCAAGTTGTAACCTTGGCCAAAAAACAAAAACTCATCTAATAATAGTTGTGAATCCTGATCCAACGACTGTCTGTGGCAGATGAAGTACTTTTACCAGCCTCGGAAGAGCCAGCGCAAGGTGGCGGTGACGGTGGTGGGCAGCAAGGTGCCGCTGTACGGCGGCGGCGCGGGGCTGAGCAGCACGCCGGGGCCCAAGGGCGTGCCCCCGCCGCCGGTGCCGCTGCAGCTGACGCTGAGGATCAGGGCTCGGGCGCTGGTGCTGGGCAAGCTGGTGAAGCCCAGGTTCTACAACAACGTGCAGTGCAGCGTCCGCCTGGACACGACCAAGCTGGGCAAAGCCATATCCCTCAAGAAATCCTGCACCCACGTCTAGGTCTAGCCACACGACCCGACCTCCCGCCACCGCCATCTTTCTTTCTTCTTCTCGTTGCTTGCTGCGTATGTTATGCTATGTGATGTGATGTAATGCGTAGATTACCATGAGTACCATTTTGACGGGAGAAAGCGGCATGCCACTTGTGTATGTACAGATGAATTTTGTCGCCTGCGTCGGGATGGAATGAATGAATGATCACGCGTTTCTTGCCGCATTTTTTCATGGACGGTGACGGTGTGGGTGTGGTTGTGGCGTGGGTTTTGTGATGTGTGCACAAGGCGTGGTTGCCGTGAAGCCGGTGTTGCTTCCGTTTTTGGTGTAGACTGGATTAGCGGACGTTGCTGTCCCATCACCGTCGCTGTAAACTGCTCCCATAAACCGTGGATTTTCCCCCTTTCTTTCTACACGGAGGTTTTAAGCTTGCTGGTACCGTGGTACGCATCCAAGTAGAGTTACCTATGAATGTTTTTTTTGCGGGGATTACGAATGTTTTCTTTTCGCGGGGAACAGCTACTTATAAATGGATAGTTCCACGACTGCTCCATGTCGATCCGATGGATGACCATTAGCCCTTTTTTTACTGCCCAAATCTGATGGTTACAATCACAAAAACGAATCCTCGTACTAATGCGCAGAGCCGTTTCACTGTCGAAGAGTAGGGCTGGATCGATAGCTGTAATGGTAGAACACTGCGGAAATCCCAATTCGGCTAGTAGTATTATTGATGTATATTTAGGGGTCAGTGAAGGTTTGTGTCGGATCCTGTCCTGTGCTCCCATCTCCTGCTTGCCCACGACTGAAACGCCACTGCAGAGTTATGCAAAAACTGAAGAAAAATAAATAAAGCACAGATTCAACATTGTATGTCTATTTTCCCACGAAAATTTAAATTCAGAACAGAAAACACAACTCGAGAGAAAAATATGAAAGAAAGATTCAGTGATGGTATTGATGATTGCCCAATTTGACCGCCAAACTGAAATTAGCTACCACGTACTACTACTATAACTAGAAAATACCCCGCGCATTGCTGCAGGAATCGATTGCAATATATTTCAGTGATTTGATTGTATGAAGCTTTCATAGTCGAATTAATAATACATGAACTAAAGCTAAAAATAAATATTATATCTTATATTTTATTATTGTGTAGTCAGAAAATATTTCGAATATAAGTGGCATAATGTATGTTGAGTGAACCTTTGATGAGGTGGCATGTGTGGTGAGGTGAAAGGTGTGCAAGAGATCAACTAATAATGAAAAAAAAATCTCATGCATGTAGTGGTGGGTCTTTGATGAGGTGGCATTTATGCATGTTGAGATAAATAGGATAGTGAGGATCAACTTCTTATGTATACTAGATGATTCCCCGCGCGTTGCTACGGCACATTTAATCAAGATTAGATATTACGCAACCAAATGGCATATGTGGTAATCTATCTAAAAACGAATTAAAAGATATATTTACATATAGATGAGCAGCAACCTAGGGATAAGCAGGAATTCAGGTTAGCTTTTCTGTTTTCCGAATCTTACCCACCTGAGAGTCCTAGTCTCGAAAGGGCGTGAAAGAACATGCACTGCCTCATGTTTGGTTTTGGTAATTGATGACAATCTCTATGGATAATGGTTGTCTTGGGTTTTATTTGAAGGATTTGTCCATAGGCTTTTCTTGGAGTCCATTTGTTGGTTTCAATGAGAGTTTGTGATGACCAAGGTGCTATTAAAGAATTATTCAAAGATTGGTCATATGAGTGTTGAGCTTATGGCAAGCATGTCTTGAAGAAGAAGAGTGTGTGATCATTCATGTTTACCTTCAAGACATCATCCAAATGAAGAGAGTTGGAAAGATTCAAGGTTGATCAAGACTAAGTCAAGGAGTGAATCAAGTTGATCAACACACAAAGCGTAGAAGATGTACCGAGAGGGATCAAGCGATCCCATGGTATGGTAAGCATTATCAATTACGCTTTGTGTACTAAACCATGATCTTCGTGAGAGTTCTTTGTGGGGTTAGGTTGTGGTGTGCAAGTTCAAGTGAAGCATCACGACGAGATCAAATGCTTGAAGCTTGCCGTCCATTGTGGTGACAATGGACTTGTCAAGATGTGCGGAAGTGTGGCTCACCCATAGTGGAGTATGGGGGAGCAATCAACTAGTCTTCATCGAACCAATACAATCAAGAAAGGTGGTCCAACTTGAGGGAGTCAAGATCGTCATCATCTAGCTCAAGTGGACCATGTGCAAGGCAAAGGTTTGCCCTTGATAGGTTTTCCATTTTACCGGTCTCATGATGGTAGTTGGGAGACCGGGTTTTAGGTTCGATTGCCGTACTATCAAGGGGGGCTCTTGATGAGTAACTTCATCGTATCATTCGTAGAGAGCTCAAACCACTGCATCCTTGCATCATCTTTCTTGGTTCTTGTTTGGTTCTCTTTGTGAGTCTTGGAGCTTTTGGTCATCTTGTTGACAAGCTCGAGTTCATCGAAAACGGAGTTCACATGCTTCTTCTATGATGTTTTCGATGTTGGAGGTTATGGTGGTTTTTCTCTGTTGGAGTGTTCACTCCTCTATATCTTAGGCATACCTCCCTGCCTCTTCTTACTATACATAGTTGATGTTTTGATGCTACTCGTCTTTCTCTATCCATCAAGCTTGAGTTTGCTCAATTCGGAGTTCTTATGAAGAAGTTATTGCAGTTCTGTTTTTCTCCCTGTGATAGTACCGCGGAGCCAGCGGTAGTACCGCTTGTAGAGTCAAGCAGTAGTACCGCTCCTGTGCCGCTCTACTACCGCCTCGATTTTGGGTCTTGCACTTTTCGTGTCGGGTTTAGCACTAGTTGCACGACAGTAAAGCATGACAGTTCCGCCTATAAGCGGTAGTACCGCCCTGATTGGGCGGTAGTACGGCCTATAAGCGGTAGTACCGCTCCGGTCGAGCGGTAGTACCGCTACTGCATTACTGCCGCCGTACTCTGCTCTGCCCTGCCTCATTTGGTCCCGTGTTCTGCTCCTCCAGCTGTAGTACCGCTGGGGTGAGCGGTAGTACCGCTTATAAGCGGTACTACCGCCCTAAGGTTCATGTTTTGTTGCTCCTTTTCCCTGCTTCTTCCGCCCGAGCGGCAGTACCGCTCGTGTGCGGACTGAGCACATAACGGTTGGATTTTTTCCTCCTATAAAATGGGTCTTCTTCCCCATTGAACCTAATCCTTTAGCTCATGTTCTTCCCCCATTGTTGACCTTCTCCGAGCTTGCTATCTCTCAATCCCTCCATGGATTCTTGCTAGTTTTTTGGGCAAAAGAGAGAGGAGATCTAGATCCACGTTTCCACCAATCACTTTCTCCTCTATGTGAGGGGAACCCCTTGGATCTAGATCTTGGAGTTCTTGGTGTTCTCCTTCTTGTTCTTCCTCTCATCTTGCTCCCTAGCATTAGTTGCTTCGATGGGATTTGAGAGAGAAGGACTTGGGCACTCCATGTGCCCTTGCCATTGCATTTGGTGCATCGGTTTAAGTTCTCCACGTGATACATGGAAGTTACAAGTTGAGAAGCTTATTACTCTTGGGTGCTTGGTACCCTTGAGCTTGTTACTCTTGGGTGTTTGGACACCCTAGAACTTGTTCCTCTTGGGTGCCTTGGCGCCCTAGACGATTGGTGTTGTTCGGAGCTCAATCATTGTGGTGTAAAGCTCCGGGTAAGCGTCGGGGTCTCCAATTAGGTTGTGGAGATCGCCCCAAGCAATTTGACGGGTACCGGTGACCGCCCCCAAGGGTTGCCAAAGTGTATGGGTTCGGTGACCGCCCCCAAGGGTTGCCATTTGTACGGGTTCGGTGACCGCCCTCAAGGGTCCCTTAGTGGAATCACGGCATCTTGCATTGTGCGAGGGCGTGAGGAGATTACGGTGGCCCTAGTGGCTTCTTGGGGAGCATTGTGCCTCCACACCGCTCCAAACGGAGATTAGCATCCGCAAGGGTGTGAACTTCGGGATACATCGTCGTCTCTGCGTGCCTCGGTTATCTCTTACCCGAGCCTTTTACTTATGCACTTTACTTTGTGATAGCCATATTGTTCTTTGTCATATATCTTGCTATCACATAGTTGCTTATCTTGCTTAGCATAAGTTGTTGGTGCACATAGATGAGCCTAGTTGTTGTAGGTTTTGTGCTTGACAAATTAACCGCTGGGTTTATTCCGCATTTGTTCAAGCCTCTATCGTAATTATTTTAAAGCGCCTATTCACCCCTCCTCTAGGCGACATCCACGATCTTTCAGGGCGCCTTGGCCATCCAGCCTTATCGCAGAATTGAATTCGATACCATAGTCCCCGCTACTCTCCTCATAGGATACTTATCAAAAGCTCAATTTTGTACTGGATCAGGGCATCCTATTAGTAAACCCGTTTGGACAGATTTATCAGATTGGGATATTCTTGATCGATTTGGTCGGATATGTAGAAATCCTTTTCATTATCATAGTGGATCTTCGAAAAAACGGACTTTGTATCGACTAAAGTATATACTTCGACTTTCATGCGCTAGAACTTTAGCTCGTAAACATAAAAGCACGGTACGAACTTTTATGCAACGATTGGGTTCGACATTTTTAGAAGAATCTTTTATGGAAGAAGAGAATCTGAGCTGGGTGGAATTGAAGTTCGGTTTCGATCAAGACACCCCTGCCTACTTACCTTTAAAAACGACTAATGATCAACTGATCACAGAGGTCCTTTTCCAGCAACTTCAAATCAGAAAGCCCCGACTCCCATAAAGAATGGCATTTCTGAATCGAGTTTACTTAGAGTTCAATGACGTTTTCTCATGTAACAGTTCTGATTCGCTTTCCGGAGACCCTAAAGATTCGTCGAAGAATAGGTTGTCATCATCTAATCCTCCTACTCAATCTGATCAAGATAAAGTCAAAGGAAATCAAGCACACCAAGGGAAAAAGAAGAAAATCAGAATGAGAAATGTTAGTGAAACATCCCATATCAGCTAGGCT